CTCCTCCTCCTCCTCCTCCTCCTCCTTGCCATCGCTGGGACGTCCACTCCCCGTGCATCTCTCGGCTTCGTGCATGTTTGTGCTTGCTCGATGGTCCAGGATGCTCCTCCAGGGTCCTCGCCGGGAGAAAAGTGCACACTTTCCGAGCGATGCCAGGGGTCTGGCCACCCCCGGCTGGCCTGGTCGAGCCCGGCCCGTGGCTCCTCCGCTCGCCTCCCTCCGCCTCGAGATCGACGGCGCGAGCGCCGGGAGCCCTGCGGGGCTCGCCCCCGTCGTGAGCGGGAGGGCTGGTGGCCTGCAGTGTGGTCGGCTGCTCTCTCCCGTCGGAGGGAGGGGGGGGGCGGAGGCCCTCCTCGGCGGAGCCTAGCGGAGCCTCGAGACGCTGGCCCAACAGCCTCAGGAAGCCTCCGCCCAGATGTCCATTGCCGAGGTCGTCGGCCAGAAGAAGCCCGGCAGTTCGGTGTGATGGCGTCGCCGCCGGAGAGCAACGACGGCAGAGATATGAGGAGCGCGCAGGTTACGAGCGAGCACGAGCACGAGAAGAAGGTCGGACGAACTGCATCGATACGGCGGAGTGTCGCACGAACGCGCGCCGAAACTAGAAGATTCGGCAGGCTACGTGCTGCGTTCCATGCCTCGTCTGAAACAGGCCCGCGGGTGGATGATTGTGCGCGCGTGTGCACCCGAACGCTCCTGCTTGTGGCTGGCCGCTGCCATTCTCACACGGACGCGGATGTGCAGACGCGAATAAATCCGCATTTATATGTTGCACGTCCAAAGCGATGGATCTCGGATAGGGCATTCCTCCACGGGGAGCATGCTGCGGCCCGTATTTCTGTTGGTCGAAGCCCTTGGCAAACATAATTGTGCGTGACCTTGCCCGCACAGTTGTCTCAGTGGCCAAACACTGCCAGCCCGACACAAACAGGATGAGCGAGTTCGAACCAATCTTTCAGTGACGCCGCTTGCACGTCCACGCCTTCCTGGGGCCTCCTAGCGACTCCCACCATGCCTCTGGCGCGCCCTGCACTGTCTTCAAGCCCATGGTGATTTTTCGATTACGCCAAAACTTTGAAATAGCCCCAGACTGCCGATTCTCAGTCGCTCCCCGGGATCGTCGCGTGACTTCGTCCAAGTTCCACGAAGGAGGGCCCCAAGACGGCGCAAGAGAGCTCGCCTAGAAGGCCAAAACAATCCAAAGCCAACCCACCAATCCCCAAGATGCGGCAAGATGCCGTTCAAGAGGCCCCCCGAGGAGGGCTCGCGTTTCAGTCGCAAGGGGCGGCGGTTCCTGTACTCGCCGGAGGCGCCTTACACGCAAGAGGAACATAGCTGCCTGTGCCCCCCAAAGCGTCGAGACATCATGCTAGCAATGTACGCCCTTGCCTGGTCCTCCTCTCGTACTCCAGATTTCGTAATAAAAGGGAGGGGGTCTGGACCCTCCAAGACAAGCCATTTCAGACCTCCCCCGTGGGAGAACCCTCCAAAACATCGTCCCCAGACCCCCCCAGGCCCTCCAAGATAGCCTGGAAGAGACCCCCCCCGAAATGAGACCCCCTCCCTTTTATTACGAAATCTGGAGTACCCGTGTCCGTCCCACAAATGAGATTGCCCGCAACAGCACCCGCAGGGTCGCGCCCGCCTCCGTCCACTGAGGAGCCAATCCAGGCAGCAGCTCTGCACGCGTCTCCACCTTGGAGCACACATCGGGGGCCGCACGTCGAGTGAGTCTGTCTACGCGCTCACCTCCACCCGTGCCGACGTCGAAGTCCTGGATCGCTGGGACACGGCGGGTGTTTGTGATTCGGGGCAGAATGCCAAGATCGGGGGCCTCGCAAGTGAACCTGAGTCTAGACGCAATCGCCTCAATCTCAAGGTAACACTTTGTTGGGCGGAGGTCTGCTAAGGACATCTGCTGAGGCGGCTTGTGACAGCTGGCGCACAATTTGAAAGACGGAAAAACCCTGCGAAAGCGTTGCTCGTGAAGGCGGCTGCGTACCAAGATGTGCGAAGCAATGCGAAAAAGACGTGGCATGAGGCAAATGCGGCATATCAGCCAGCGTTGACTCCAAATACATAGGAGGACAGGAGGAGGACGAAAGGAGGACGGGAGCAGGACGGGAGAAGCAACATCAAGCAAGCGCAAGCAAGCAAGCGGAAGCAAGCAAGCGCAAGCGAACAATAACAAGCAAGCAAGAGCCAGCGATCATGTGCAAGCAAGCAAGGGCAAGCAAGATCAAGCAAGCGAGGGCAAGCACGCAAGAGCAAGCAAGCAAGTGCAAGTGAGTGTGCAAGAGCAGGCACGCAAGAGCAAGCAAGCAAGCAAGTGCATGTGCAAGCAAGCAAAATAATACATACGACTCATAGGCATAGGCATAGGCATAGGCATAGGAGCGCTCAGAGGTGGTGCATCGGCATAGGCATAGACATAGGCGTAGGCATAGGAGTTAGGGGAGGCATAGGCATAGGCACAGGCAAATCCATTGGAATTAGGGGGGATAGGAATTAGGGGGGGCAACGGGCCAGTTAGTAGGGTTTGAGTCAGAACTCCTACAAGGCAAGCCTATCTGGAGAACTGGCAAAAATCTGATACCGCTCCAGCCCAGCCACTCCACGACAAGGCCTGCTGATGGCTCCCTCCAGACATCATGGACCAATGAGGCGACGAACTGGACCATGCGTTAGGCTGCGCGAAGCGGCTCGGCCCATCATCCAATCCGTCTCGAAGCGAAGGCATCCCGCATGCTGCCTGCTAACGGACAAATATCGGCGGAACCGAATCTTCTGGTCGTCAACTGTCCGAGCCGAACACGCAACGCGGAAGCACTGTTGAACGGCAACGCTCCAGGACGCCTGTGAAGGGACAGCTTTCATGACGACGTCGGCGTGCGCTTCTGTCTCCCCGAACCTCCCGCGCACAGCAGGATAATGCTAAATATGAGGGAAGAACGACGAGGATGAGGAAGAAGAATGCGGAGGGGGGAGGAGGAGGAGGAGGAGGAGGAGGAGGAGGAGGAGGAGGAGGAGGAGGAGGAGGAGGAGGAGGAGGAGGAGGAGGGAGGTGGGCGGAGGAGCGAAAAGGAAGGAGGGGGGAGGCCCGAGGGGGAAGGACCCCTGCATACTGGAGCCGTCCGAGAAATCCCGAGGCCTCAGCTGGCCCTCCGGAGGGCGAAACAGCAGCGGTGCGATGCCCAAGCCCGCACCCCTTCTCCAAATCCCCTTCCTGTTCGCTGTAAGACTTCAGGCAGTTCCAGGCGTAGATAAGTCTCCGCATCCTTTCAAGTAGAAGTACAGTCGGGGCGTTGACCTAAGGAACCCTAAATAAGGAACGAGGCCCCTTCTATCCATAAGCTGAACTTCGGCGTCCCATCGAAAACCTAAGTAAAACCTTGAGCAAGCTGTGAAACAATCAAGGAACACCGAGCCCCTACCCAACGAAAAGCGTTCCTTCTTCAGCGCCCCGACTGTATTGAGACTGGGCCTTGCGCTTAAGTATACATTGGGGCACCGGCTCGAGCAGTCCAGCCACGGGAGCCCAGCACTCCCTGAGGTGCACGGGTGGCCAAGGATGGCGCGCCTGCCTCCTCCTCCTCCTCCTCCTTGCCCCCACTCGCGCTGTGGCTCGTGTGTCAACTCTTGGCTATCATCTCCGCCACCTGCTTACTCGTTTTCGTCGCCGTTGTCGTCGCTATCCTCCTCCTCCTCCTCCTCCTCCTCCTCCTCCTCCTCCTTTTCCTCCTTTTCCTCCTCCTCCTCCTTTTCCTCCTCCTCCTCTCCTCCTCTCTCCTACCTCTGCCCTACTCGCGTTGTGGCTCGTGTGTCAACTCTTGGCTATCATCTCCGCCACCTGCTTACTCGTTTTCGTCGCCGTTGTCGTCGCTATCCTCCTCCTCCTCCAATCCTCCTCCTCCTCCGCCTCCTCCTCCTCCTCCTCCTCCTCCTCCTCCTCCTCCTCCTCCTCCTCCTCCTCCTGCTGCTGCTGCTGCTGCTGCTGCTCCTTCTCCTGCCCCCTCTCTCCTCATTCATCCCTCCTCTCTCCTCATCTCGTCCGACTCGTTCTGTTCGTTTCACAGGAGCAAGGCCTGTTTTGGACAGCAGCGCTTCTGTCCCATGGTTCCGATCAGCCTCGCTTCATCGGCGCGGATCTGAGCCTCGACGTGGCCTTCACCCACTGCTGCTGGCTCGTCCTCTGGCTCTAATGTTCCTTGCCCAAGAGCATGTTGGCAGGCAGGAAGCAAGATCAAGCAATGGAAATACGCGTGTGTGTGTGTGTGTGTGTGTGTGTGTTGTTTTGTTTGTGTGTGTGTGTGTGTGTGCGTTGGGGGGTAACCCTCAGGCGTATTTTGGGCCATGGAGGGGGGGCAAGGAGGGAGGAGGAGAAGGAGCACTGACCCTGAGATCCAACGTTTCCGAAAGAATGCAGCATCGCGAAAAAATCACGACCCGAACCACAGACACCACATGCTTGCTGCACTTCTCAAGCCGGATCGACCTGTGATGGTCGTCCCGGGGCCCGAAGCCGAGCGAGAACGCCCAGCGTGAAAAAAAGCAGCTCCCCGACCTCAGGGGACCCCCAGGCGAGGCCTCCCCACCTCGAGCTCCACCGGCGATCCGCCCGAGCGCACCCACCTCTCCCCGACCTCCCCTCGCCGGTCTGTGGCCGGGGTTAGGTCGGGCCTGCCCCTCTGCAGGAGGAGTGTTCAGAAATAGCCCCAAAGATGATGCGGGGAGAACTTTATGAGAATTTGCTGGCCACTTTGGGGGCATTTTGGACCATTTGGTGTTCTTCGTCCAGGGTGAAGTCGGGCCTGTCCCTCTGCAGGAGGAGTGTTCAAAAGTAGCCCAAAGATGATGCGGGGAGGATTTTATGAGAATGTACTGGCCACTTCCCAGACCCCCGACGTCATGATTTTTTCATGACATCGACCCCCCGAGGTCTCGACCCATTCCCCGGGACCGGTTTTTCGTCCTGAGTCGTTTTTTGACGGTCCCGAGGGCCGGTAAGGGCCCCCAAAGGCCAAAAATAGTAAAAACACCTCCCGTCGTGATTTTTTCATAACTGGAGGGGGTCTGGGTTTAGGGACATTTTTTGACCAGTTGGCATTCTTCGTCCAAGATCCCCTGGGGGGACGGGCCCGACTCGAGGATGCATGGCGCCCCGTGCCTCGTGGCGCCCTGGGGCGGCCACGTGCTGCGGCGCTGCTGGGGCCGCCTGGAGGGGGGGAGGAGGAGGAGGAGGAGGAGGAGCAGGAGGGAGGAGCAGGAGGAGGAGGAGGAGGGAGGCGGAGGAGGAGGAAGGAGGAGGAGGAGCAGGAGGGAGGAGGAGGAGAGGAGGAGGGAGGGAGGGAAGGAGGAGGGGAGGAGAAGGAGGGGGAGGGAGGAGGAGGAGGAGGAGGAGGAGGAGGAGGAGGAGGAGGAGGAGGAGGGAGGAGCAGGAGGAGGAGGAGCAGGAGCTGGAGGAGGAGGAGGAGAGGAGGAGGAGGAGGAGGAGGAGGAGGAGGAGGAGGGTAGGAAGGAGGAGGAGGAGGAGGAGGAGGAGGAGAAGGAGGGGGGAGAGAGCGGAGGGGGCCCAGGGGACGAGGAGGCCGATCGGGCCTGGGCTCGAGCGAAGGCACGACACTTAAGTCGGGCGTGTCCCCCTACAGGATAATTTTGTGCGAAAACCAAAAAATACTCAAAAAATGCCCCCCCCCCAAATGCTCAAAAACAGTAAGAAAATATTCCCCCGACTATTTCTTAACTATTTATGAACATTCCCCCAGTGGAGGGACAGGCCCGACTTAACACGACATGCCATACGCTTGCGGATGCCACGACAGTGGACACCCTAACAGTCCTGCCAGTGAGTCTAAGCTGCGTCTCACGTGTCGGAAGCATGTCTCGAACACGTGTTTTTTGTCACGTGCTCTTGACACGTGTCTTCGACATCTGGAACTCATTCGGCGACACGCCTCCTCTCCATGGATCGTCCTCCACAGCCACACGCCGGAGCGCGTGGGCGAATGCCCTGCGCCGGAGCGCGCGCGCGTGGAAGCTGGACTCGGTGCCTCGTTGCAGCTGGCGGGCGGCTCGGGCGGCCGAGCGCGGGCCTCCTCACGCCCGAGGGGGCCTGCCATCGCTCGGACGTCCCTTCCCGGTGCAGTTTCCGGTTCCGTGCGCGTCGTTGTCTGCTCGAGGATCCAGGATGCTCCTCCAAGGCCTCGCCGAGAGAAGAATGCACACGTCCGAGCGATGCCAGGGGGAAGGAGAAAGCCAAAGCATTCCGGTTCCCACCGCTCCAGAGGAAGAAGCGGAAGCTGGAGCAAGGCCCAACGCAGGCCCAGGCGATCAAAAGCCCGAAGGGAACAGGGAGCCGAGGCTTTCAATGCCCCTGCAACAGGGATGGGGAGAGAGGGGAAAGGGAAGCGGGCGGAGGTGGATGGGGCACTCGTTAAGGGCATAGCGACTTCTGCTGTCTCTCGACTCGCGCTGGAGCGTCCACGATTGGCTCCAGGTATCGCGGGGGATCTCTAGATGTACCTCGACTTGTTTGGATTTCTGTGGATTAACATGGATCTGCCTCGATCCGCCTGGCTTGATCCCCGTAACTCGATGAGAGAGACGTCGTGAAGCCATTGAGGAGGCACGGGAGAGGGAGGAGGGAAGGCGCGTGCAGGGGGGGCGGCCCGGGGAGATGCGCCGGGGGAGGGGTCTTCGTGGTCAGCGGTCCGCGCGTGCAACTCCGACCTCGACTCGGCTTGACCAGGTGGCGTGCCCATCCCAGTCCCGGAGGAGGATGGGTGGGATCCCGCCCGTGGCCTTGTGACTCCATGCTCCCTGGGGGAGGGGGGGAAGGCGATAGGGAAAGATATAGGTATAGAGAGAGGGAGAGAGAGAGAGAGGGAGAGAGAGAGAGAGAACGAGAGAGAGAGAGAACAACACACAAAAAACAAAACAAATAGAGAAAACAAATAGAGAGAGGGGAATCCATATATATATGTATATATACACATAAATACGCATGTATAAGCATACGTATATATATATAGAGAGAGAGAGAGAGCAGGCGTAGAAGTCAAGGGAGGGGGATGGGGGAGAGGCAGCAGCGGAGAGGGGGAGAGGAGGGGGAGGGGGGGCGAGGGAGGGCAACGGGGGTCGGGGGGAAGAGAACCCGGGCCCTCCGAACCAGGACATTGCTGACCAGGATTTTGAGAATTCCACCTGGATTTTGCTGACCAGGATTTTGAGAATTGCTGAGAGGAGGAGGAATAGGAGGAGGACCTCCTCATCCTCCCGTCTGCCCCGTTAACTAGGAGGAGGAGGAGGAGGAGGAGGAGGAGGAGGAGGAGGAGGAGAAGGAGGAGGAGAAGGAGGAGGAGGAGGAGGAGGACATTGCTGACCAAGATTTTGAGATTTCCACCTGGAGAGACCGAATTCGCCGGCCCAACGGGCAAGAGGCGTGCTGCGATCTCCGGCTACTAGTAAACAACATTTCCAATTCGCGCGCGCGGGGCGGCTCCTGGGGGTCCCCGGACGAGAAGTGCCCCGGGCGGTCCGACTCAGAGATGGTTTTTCCTTCTGGGCGCGGCCCCAAGAGTCCCTAAGACGGTCCGAGAGGGCTCCGAGTCGCTGACCGAACGGCCCAAGACGCCCAAGGCCCCAAATATCGCCCCAAGACGGCACAAGAGGTCTCCAAGAGAGCCCCAAGAGGGCCCAAGAGGGCCCCAAGATGGCCCAAGAGGCCTCCAAGACGGCCCAAGATATCCCCAGGACAACCCCAAGAGGAGGCCAGACGGGGAACCCGAACGGACATTTCGAGCTCGGCCCCAAGAGGCGCCCAGGAGGCCCCAAGAAGCCCCCAAGAGCTCCCCAAGAGGCCCCAAGAGGCCGCCAAGAGCCCCCAAGAGAACCCCACAAGAGGCCCCCAATAGGCCCCCCGGAGGCCCCAAAGAGGGCCCTGGGAGACAAAACGTAATGTTGCTCCTTGTAGCTTTTTGAAAGTTTTTGGCCGTCTCGCCCTTTCGGCTCTCCGGCGTTCGAAGAGAGCCCCAGAGGCCTACAAGACCGCCTCAAGGCCGCCCAAGATGCCCTCAAGAGGGCCCCCTTAAAGGGCCCCAAGACGGCCCACGAGGAACCTGAGACCACCCAAGAGGCGCCAAAGAGAGCCCAAGAACGCCCCACGACGGCCCCAAGTGCGGCCCACGAGGAAAACCACGAACCGGCAACAACAGACCCCCAAGAGACCCCCAAGAAGCCCCCAAGAGGCCCCAAGAGGTCACGAACGCGCAGGCTAACGCCTGCGATGGCACAGTACGGGCCGGCGGAATGAGGGAAGCGATTAAATCATGGAAAGTATTTCGACCAACGGCTGCAATATTCTCAGGCGCGCCAAGGTCCCGGTTAACCGAAGTCCCCGTTCAGGGGGCCCTGAGAAAGAGGGCAAGAGAGTAAGCCAGGTACGTACTACGTACCCGCCTCCGCGGAAATGAAGTCAGCGACGCTGGGGGGAGGCCTGCGAGCCAGGGCCGCCTGACACATCACCGTAATTCACCCTCCCTCCCCGAACGTGTGCAAAGTCAGGCACGAGGACAACCTGGCGCGTTCTGTTTCTAGAGGCTGTGGGGCAGCCCAGAACGGTGAGTTTGGGAGAGAGGCGCTCAGGGCTGGTCCATCGAGGATAGTCACATGATGATCTGCCAAGGAGTTCCCCCCCAGGCTCTGGCCGAGCGCCTCTTATTTTTGCCAGCGCCCTCGGTCAGGCCGAGAACTTGCCATTGCGCTTGGGGGACCGAGCCTCTCCGCTCTTACAGCGAAGGGGCCACTCACTTTGCTCAACCGCAGCACATCCCCAACCCTAGCTCCGTGAACTTGACCATCTCCCCCCTGATACCCGTATACTACGCAATGTGATCTGGGGATCAGAATACTCCGCTGGACCCCCCAGGAGCTCACAAATAGTTAGACAATTGCACAGTTGGCAACACCCAGGGAGGGCGAGGTGCTGTTCGGATCTGGGCAGCACCACACTCCCCTGGACCCCCAAGGAACTCGCGACAGTGGCGACAGTTGCGCAGTTGACAGCGTCCTGTCCAGGGAGCAGCAAGAGCAAACAGGAGGCAGGAGTCAACAGGCAGGAGGGAGGGGAGGGAGGGCGGGAAGAAGAGGGAGAATGAGCAGCAGTGGCCTACAGTGAACCCGTATAATAAGGACGCAAGATAAGGATGCCATGGCCTTGGAAGGACATGTCGACACTTTGCGAGCGGGGCGCGGCCAGCGAAAGCGACCAAGGATGGGCCGAAGGGGAACGATGCAAGGGTAACCATGGAAAGTTGCTCATCCTTACTATGCGGGTTGACTCTGTTCAAGACGAGTACCCAAGCCCAGAAGGGTTTGGGGAAAAGAAAGCTTCCGTTGCCTTTCGGCCTCAGACCGCTGTGAGCAAGCTCCAGAGAGCCCCCCACGCGCCCAAGACGGTCCAAAGAGGGCCCCTAGGACGGTCCCGAGAAGGACAGACAACCTTTCAAGACGGCCCAGGAAGGCTCCAAGATGGCTGAAAAGGGTGAAGCCTGTTAGAGTCATCGCCGAAAATGGCCGAGCCCGCGCGCGTGAGCTTGGTAGTTATCGCGCCCAAAATGGCTCCCAAGCCCCCGACGAGCCGCCCACTGGCCCCACGAGCCAAGAGGCCGCCTGCAGGCCCCGAAGAGCCCCCCGCCAGAAGCCTCCAAGGTGGAGGAAGAGGGGGGATAACAGTACTGCGGGCAAGGCAAAGCAGAGGCCCGGTCAAACCAAAAGGTTGGCCCGTGAACGGGCGGGGCGCGATATGGAAAATGAGAGCAGTGCGACCTGCATGCATGATGCGAAAGACGTGCAAGACGAGTGAGCAAGCTTTGTGCCCCTGCGCAAGCTTTGTGCCACTGCGGGCAAGGATTGAGGCCATTTCAGGCAGAGCGCTGAACTCGAACCAAAATCTCAAACTCAACCTCGCTCCTGCTGCGCTGCAGCGCTGCCACTGGACACAACCTCGTTGCAGTTCCTGCCGTTTTCTTTTCGCGTTCGTGCGAAAGCCGTTTCCGCAGCGGGGGGGGGGGGGCGAAGGGAGAGGGAGGAGGAGGAGAGGGAGGGAGGGGGAGAGGGCACTGGAGGAGAGGGAGGAGGAGGATGGAGGGGAGGGCGGGGGTGGAGGGAGGAGGAGGAGGAGGAGGAGGAGGAGGAGGAGGAGGAGGAGGAGGAGGAGGAGGAGGAGGAGGAGGAGGAGGGGCATTCTTTCCGCTGCTCTCTCCGAGCCCATTCTCTCCGAGCCGGCTCGGTCGGTGATGCCCATCAGGGCCCGAAACGGAGCGAAGACGCCCGGTGTGAGAAACAAAAATGCTCCAGATTTCGTAATAAAAGGGAGGGGGTCTGGACCCTCCAAGACCAGCCATTTCAGACCTCCCCCGTGGGAGAACCCTCCAAGACATCGTCCCCAGACCCCCCAGGCCCTCCAAGATAGCCTGGAAGAGACCCCCCCCGAAATGAGACCCCCTCCCTTTGTTACGAAATCTGGAGTGCAGCGCCCAGATCCCATGGGGCTTCTGGCGAAGGGTCGCCCCTGCGCGAGGCCGATGGGCGAAACCCCAGACACCCTCGAGCCATGAAAAAATCACGACGGGAGTTTTTTCGCTGTGTTTGGCCCCTGGGGGCCCCTGCCGGCCCTCGGGACCGTCGAGAAACGACTCAGGACGAAAAACCGGTCCCGGGGAATGGGTCGAGACCTCGGGGGGTCGACGTCACGAAAAAATCATGACGTCGGGGCTCTGGGAACGTAGCTGACTTTCCCTGGGCCCCTCGGTGGGGCCGACACCAGCTGCATGCAGCAGACTTCGTACCCCCCCCCTTTCCCTGTCCCCCCTTTCGTCCGGCCCGACCTTTCCCGCTGGGCCAGCCTCTCATCCCGAGTCTTGACTGCCCCGAGGCCCGGCGAGGGCCCACCGAGGCCGACGAAGGACGAGAAAGAAACCTCCCGTCGTGCTCTCCGGCGCTCGGCCCCAACAGTTTTGTCGCCGCTCTCGCTCTGCGATCCTCTTCCCTCGCCCCGTATTCCCCCCGCCCCTGCCGCACAGCCCAGCTCGAAACGAAAACGGCCCCAGACGTCGCCCAAACCTCGCCATCGCTCGGACGTCCATTCCCTGTGCTTTTCGTCGGCTTCGTGCGTGCCTTTTCGCCAAATGATCAAGGATGCTCCTCGATTGCCCTCGCCGAAGGAAACACGCACACGTCCGAGCGATGCCGAGAAACGCAGAGAGAGCTTAGGCCGAGCCCCCGTGACTTCTCCCTGGCGCGAGCACCTCCAGGAGGGCCGCTCCTCCGGCGCAGGGCCTCCCCCCTCGCCGGTCCGTGGCCGGGGTGAAGTCGGGCCCGTCCCTCTGCAGGAGGAGTGTTCAGAAGTAGCCCAAAGATGATGCGGGGAGGATTTTATGAGAATTTGCTGGCCACTTTAGGGACATTTTTGGACCATTCGGTGTTCTTCGTCCAGGGTGAAGTCGGGCCTGTCCCTCTGCAGGAGGAGTGTTCAGAAGTAGCCCAAAGATGATGCGGGGAGGATTTTATGAGAATGTACTGGCCACTTCCCAGACCCCCGACGCCATGATTTTTCCACGACGTCGACCCCCCGAGGTCTCGACCCACTCCCCGGGACCGGTTTTCCGTCCTGAGTCGTTTTCTGACGGTCCCGAGGGCCGGTAAGGGCCCCCAAAGGCCAAAAATACAGTCGGGGTGTTGACCTAAGGAACCCTAAATAAGGAACGAGGCCCCTTTTTTCCATATAAGTCAAACTTCGATCTCCGATCGAAAACATGAGGAACACCCGAGGCAAGCTGCGAAACACTTCAGGAACGCGGAGCTCCTCCCCAACCAAAAGGGTTCCTTCTACAGTCGGGGAGACGTAAGACCCCGGTACGGGGGACTCGGAAATCCCCGACGAGGTCGTCAAAAAATGACGAGGCCGAGCCTGCATTTTGACGAGGCCTCCCGCTGCAGACACCCCACGAAACTCCTACTCGTCGAAATCCGAATCGCGGTCGTCAAAAAACGATGGCGAACCCGAGTCCTGGCAAACCCGGGTCTTACGCTCCCCCGATACAGGGCCCTGACTGTAGTGAAAAACCTCCCGTCGCGATTTTTTCACAACTCGAGGGGGCCTCCCCCCCGCGCGCGGCCCGGGCGGGCGCGGCGCGCCTGCGGCGGCGGCTGCGAGGCCCACCGGCGCCCGCGGGCCGGCGGCGCGGAGGACGACGTCTGCCCGCGCCCGTCCTGCCCGGCGCGCGGGGCCGAGCTCGGAGGCCGCCCGCACGCCCCGCGCGCTCGGCCCGCCCCTGCCAGCGCTCGGCTCGTCCATGTCCTGTGCGTTTTTGGAGGGGCCCCAGGCCACACAAATCAATACACACACACATAGATTAAAAAGAGGATTCCCCATAGTTTCCCATCTTTTCTGGGTGTTTGTCTTCCCCCCCCCCCCTTCCCATATTTTCCCATATTTTCGGGGG